TATGAATACAATGGACATTGACCACTACGACCTACAATCCATCACTTGACATACAATTTGTACAGTGTAGGAGCTTGCAACTCCTTTCCTTCAATATATATTAACTATGAAAAATAAACGTGCACGTGTACTTATGTACACACGTTAGAAGTTATACTTCTTTGGCGCAACAAGATAAAAATCGTTGCAAACATTTTATCTTTCGCCTTTTCTACATTTGTAGATAAAACGACACTATGGTTAGTGTCGTTTTATAAAACGAAAATTACTCTCATCATTTTTCCATAATGCACCAAAAAAGTATAACTTCAAAAAAACTAAAATGTTGACTAGCCAACTTCAGGATGTCGGTTGTTTGTGATGGTGTGCGAGCGCCAAAAGAAGTATAATTTCCAAAATTAAAATACATACATAACATAATCAAAACTAGGAAATACTAAATTCGTACAAGCTGTCTACTTACAACAGTTATAAGTCATAGAATTATTAAAATTGAAAGCGTTTTCAACATACAGTTTAGTCTAGTGGTGTTGCTTTAATGAGAAAATTGAGCTATAAATTGAACAATAATATGATTGCTGATGATCTCAGCAGGTATAAATACGAATCTGTCTGACTGCTTTTTTTCAATGCCACGAACAGAAATAAAAATAAATTAAGGAAACCTCAATATCAGCCATATCGAAAAAGCATGCAAATGTCTAATTATAATTAAACGCAATTAAATTGTAAATATTGTGATATTCTACAGAATTGACATATTTATTAGACGAAGACTTAATAAAGAATTGAATTATTTACTTAAATATTGAAATACTGTTATACAAATTATTCCTTTTTAAAATTAAAATGTGTTTATATTTTTAGATTTCGAACAAATGTTTAAACACATCATTATTAAATATAATTTTTGCTTTTTTCACTTGTTTTTGACATCCCCAAACTTCGTTTTCATGGCTCAAAATTCTTATTTATGACGCTTTTTTTACCAATACAATCATTGTTTATAGCCAGTTCTTTTCGTCTGTTGTTGATTGATTTGAGAACTGGCAGTAAATATATATTTATAACGTTCATACACTGTTACCTCCTATATGAACAAGTGTATTTCGATTTAAATAAATATTTATTAAATTTTATAATTACTGTTCATCTAATTAACTTATTTTATAACCAAAATCCTCTGTTGTAACCAAAATTTCAGTCATCACAGATTAAAAATGCCTTCACTCACATTTTAACGGCAGTCGTTTGACCATATTTAGAATTCATACATATTAAATTCTACTGAGTACTTTATACGTCCACTAAACTATTATAGTTAGTAGAATCTTCAGCCAGATCTTAGACTATTTTATCCCTATTACTGTCTAACAGTAGAAAGCTGTTGATGGCAAATAAATCGCTTCAAATATATAATAGGGCCTTCTAAGTGACGAATGACGTTACAGTTATACGTACTACCTGCTCTTATAATACATTACTAGGTTGGATCAGTTATATTTATGTACATCTTTTGTAGCATCACCCGTGGATTTCTAACATTCAAAACAACAAACTATTGTTGTAACAATTCAAAACCGTGTGTGCGTGTTTGATGTGAGGGTATGTGTGACTATTTAGTTAATAAATTAGTTTGTATATCAGTTTTGTAGAAGCAAATTCAAATAAAAAAAGGGTCCGTGTACTTATGTACGCGCGTAAGAAGTTATACTTCTTTGGCAATATTAAAAATAGTTTGGCTTTGTTCCACCTCCAGTTTTTGATGTTTCACAGCGATAAGATGAAAACTCTTTTTTTGTATTCAATTTAGTGCAGTTACACTGATTCATCAATTGTTTTTTGTCTCTTTTCCTTATATTTGCTAGATAAAATCAGAAAAATTACATGTTTTGATTAAACAATGTGGTTAATTTTTTAATCAAAACATTACTCGATAATAATAATAATACATACGGATAGTTAACCTCAATTGTATTGAAGCACTTAGGAAGGTTGATGAGCACAGTTTTTTCACAAATATTAATTAGTATTGGTTTAAATATTCAATTTAAATCACTTCAGATTATAATTCAAAAAGCATCGCTAAATTTCTTTGAAAAAATAATTAAAACTCCTTTATTTGTTTAAAAGGTAAATGACAAATGTCATTATGGTCATTCAAAATTGTTGGCATACGAACTTCACGCATATTCTATTTCTTTTTACTTGTAGATTGTCTTATTCCTATCTCGCTCGCGCACGCTATAATCACACTCCTAATTTTGTGTCACGGGTGCGTGCGCATTGTAAAATTTCACTCTCATAAATTTTTCATAACGCGCCTAAAGAAGTATAACTTCAAAAATAAATAATTATACTGGGCACAAATTCTTTTTATGGGGGCAAGAGAAAAAATATTTTAATTTGTATTAACCGACAAAAGAGTAGTAGACATTTTTACTAAACATATTACATATTTACAATCAAGTATACAGTATTTACAATTTCCTTAAGATACAAAGTAATAATAAGGAACTTCGTTCCAATAAAAATAATTAAAAAGAAAATCAAAACAAATTTTAAATGTTGGTCCCTGTGGCAGTGTACCTTTAACGCTGGCAGCATTTCCTCGCCGTATTGCGATACTTATTCGTTAAGGAAAGCACCAGCTCTGGGCTCACCGGTACTATCTACCAGGCGCCAACTTAAATCTTTAATCAGCGACTGTACCCTTGAACCCAAGAGTCTCTACTCCAAAGGGAACAAAATCGAAGTTAGAGAAAAGACTCTTATTGTTTATTTTTTGTTTATTAGTTTGTTATATACAACACATGATCAATTCTACCAACGCGAATTATGAACATCCTATCCCTCATCTTAAAGTCGGTAGCATAAACGAAATGGAACTTGAAAAGTCAGATATTCAAAATCGCGTTTAAAAATATGAGATAAAATATATTTAGAGCACCATATGACCTGAATAGCGCCGAAGCCAATGAAATTCATACAAATTGAATTCCGCAAGAAACATACTAACATGGATTCACAGTGTTAATCTAATATAAACCAATAATTATTGTGTTGATTTTTCAGTTTTTTACTACTAGAAATATAATTTATTTGATCGCCTTCTATCGGCTTTTCTAAACTAATCTTCAAACATTACTAATATAATGTGTAAAATAATTTATCTATTATCGTAATGAACAATTTTTTTTATTTTTTAGACAAAAAATTTTTCAAGTTGAACAGCACAGTTCAATTGTTGACCAAGTTTCAAAAATACATACAACTCTTAATTTTCATCTACCCTCTACGATCGATCCCTATTTTTTATTTGTTAGTTGGGAACTTATAACTTGAACTCTGAGGTTTATATAGAGAAAAATCACAGAAAAACCTAAACTTTCTCAGTCTCTGGGGTAGCATAGCAAATTAATGTTCCATGTTGGTAGGTATGTACTAAAAAGGTAGGCTAGGCATTAAGGAGCAACGAAGTTCGCGGGGGCAGCTAGTATTCTTATAAATATAAAATTAAAACAAACTTAAAAAGTAATGAATTTCGAACGTCAAAACAATTCTATAATGAACTTTAAATATAGAATATCTGAATAAAAAAGCTTAACGCTGTTGCTCATGGAATCATTAAATTATACTCTATGACATTTTAAAATTTTGGCGCCATTCGTTTTTTAAATTTTTTTATTAAATCGCAAATGGGAGACAGACTATAATATATAGACAGTGACGTATAGTCTGTGCGTAGTATTAAAATGTTTGACTAGACGGCTTGACCTCGGTTTATGCTTCAGCAAGAACAAATTAATTTAGAATAATAATGAGTATTTCTCTGTTCTGTGTCTGTTGTATCCACCAAAGTCAGTTAAAGACAAACGTTACATACGTTTAAAAAAAAATATTCATTAACCAACAATTATAAGAAATCTTTTATAATTTAGTGTTTTAATGATGCACCACTTAACCGTTACATTAATGAAAAATGCGCGTTCGTATTGTCCTTCGTTTTATATTCTCTCTACAAAATTGAGTGTTCTGAGCGTGAAAACATTCATTTGTTCTGTTAAAGTACGCAATAAAGTTCCACTATTTGAATATCCCGCCCAGCCCTGCGATTCTGTAACTCACTTTTCGAACTCACACAGCGGTTTTCGCATCGGCGGTCGCTCTGAAATCAGTCGTCAAGCAGTCATTTTATGATTTGGCATTCTGAAAAGGTGGGAGCTTGTAGTTTATTGTTTATTAAAGTGAGTTACAGAATCGCAGGGCAGCTTGCCAGCTTGACAAATGCCAAGTTGACATTAGGGCTGTCAAGTATGAAAACTGTAATTCGGTTATTTTAAATTAACTTTTTAGGGCCCTCATAGCCGAGCGGTCTTATTAAGTGGCAGCTAGGTGAGGGGTACCGGGTTCGATTCCCGGTTCGAGGGCAAGTTTTAATTTTATTTAAATATGTTCTCGGCCTTTGGGAGGGTTATGCGGTACCGGGCGAGTGCTTAAACCGTACATGGAGGACACGGTCGAATTTCTAAAGACAAGCACGAATTATAAAAAATCCTATACTTGACGCTGGCTAATGCACAAATCGTGCCAGTCATTAAAAAAAAAACTAACTCTTATATGTTACAATAATAACAACAACAAAAAAAATACAATATGTTACAATAATAATAAATAATTAACTCTTATATGTTACATATTAACTGTAATAAAAATAAACGTACATATAGGTACAAATCCCTTCTATTTCTGTTTCAACCACTTTATATCTACTCGTATCGAGCAGCTCGAGGGTTCTTTTTTTTATATTATGGCAATCTTCTTTATGAAGCTATTTTTTATTTTAATATAAAACCTTTTTAGTACTATCTTCACAAACTGGCCGAAAATAATGGCTAGTGGGAGAAAAATAAAAATGTCAGCCTGAAAATGAAATGGCGTTGTTGAATAATTAATTTGTGATATTGTAATTAATATCTTTAATTTCAGAAAACTTGAAGATGAACTTCATAGGGAAGATTGATAGATACCTGGACTCACTAAAAGTTGGTAAAAGTAAGTTTCTATTTTGCTTTTATATAATTCCGTCAGTTATCTGAGAACTGTGTATGTCAACAAGGCCAGTCTATAAAGAGAAAAGCCACCATGTCCAAATCGGCCTGGAAGATATTATTGTGTTTTAATTTCAGACTTGTTAACTCATAATTAATAATTAAGCCTCACTTATTCCTTGAAACATTCATCCATATTTACAAAAGATATACACACTTAAAATTGTATACAAAAATAATTTATTTTTTTCCTCTTGTAACGAATAACTTATAATTATCTATTACTACAAACGGAGCAACGCGGCTACTATTTTTATCCAATTTAGTAACAACCGATTCAAGGAATTTTTGGGCTTCCAACTAGGTCTATAGTGAGCATCTAAAATTTCTAATGCAAACAATAATTCCTAATAAAACACTTTCAAGTAGTTTGAAGCTGGGTCACAATTGGCTTTAATTGTTTAAAACATGTGCATATAACTAAGAGAATATTAAAGGGTAGTGACGCTAACAAAAACTAACTTGACTTATTGAAGAGTTCGTAAATCTTAGTGATGCTTACGTTATTGGACATTATCGGAAACGAGAATGTTTAAATTACAATTTATGAGTATGGTAAAATTTAACTCATACTGGCTTCAAGTGTGCGATGATGTTTACGCTAGTAATTATTTAATTTATTAAGAAATTTTAGGGTACATAACTCGCAGCTGTTTGAAAAAAATTATGTTATATTAAGATATATATTTTTTTACATAATCATGCAATTACCAGAAGCAATATTAAATCTTAGCTCATCAACTCCCTTGATCTTTGACATTTATAATTAAATAGGAAACAAAAAGGCGATAGTTCACTTATAATAGAACAATAGATAGACGGTATTTATATTTAATTAAAACAGCCTTTAATTTTCTGAATACCTATACTATCTTTTTAATACGTTACTAAGACATTTTTTTTGCTGTGTATTCGACACAGTCCTAAGTAAGTCCCAGCCTAATAGTTTTCTCGACTCGACTGGAGGGCGACCTATTTGTTAAGTATATGAGGGTAATATATTGTGATTTAAAAAGGTACTCAGGATAGCTAAAGGTTTTCTGGTAATTTTATGAAAATCACTTAATTGTATAATATTCCGTATTGCGGAAAGCACCATAACTAGTGTTGTTATGACGGCGCATGCCCTTCTTTGCAAAAAAAAAATTCTCATTAAAAAGTAACCAAAACCGAATCAGAGTGGGTTGCACTATCCACGTGGTCTTGTGTCTGCCTTACCTCTAGAGTGTATATAAAAAAACGGAGGCGCGGAGCAAGAGCAGACCCCACCTGCTGTAACAAAGCACAAGCATTATTCAAGCCGTAGCGGCTAAGGCTGGTCGAAGCTGCGGAGGCGCGATACGGATTATTTACCATATTTTTATATAAAAATTTGGCCATACAAAATAAATTGCCATGCTGTCAATAAATATTATTTTTTTAACTTTGAATCAAACCCAGCTAAACTGATGTCGTACAGTTTAGCGGTCCCTATCTAACCGTATGTTTATTCTGCTCCGCGGACTTTATTTCGATAAACACACAAACAGAGCGTTGTGCTTAAGTATTAAGAACAAATTAAAAAAATATATTTTTATATACTACACACAGATAGGAGGCTCACATGATGTTAAGTGATACCGCCGCCCATAGACACACATTACCAGAGGGCTCGCTAGTGATGCCCAAAATCGGTCTTGGTCTTGTTCTTGCATTTTAGCAAGACCAAGACTGAAACATGCAAGACTTGAGCAAGACAAGACTTAAGCCTGCAAGACTCTTGCGTCTTGCAGTTAAGACAAACAGATTTGGGCGTTATTAACGCCCGAACCCAATAACCTATCTCAATCCATACTGCACCATCTGAGATAGTAATCTTAAACCAAATGTTGTAAAAGTGTGCCAATAACCAATCGACGGATAGCCATCTGTGGATACAAGCTATCCATGGGAGGTCAGATCGGTGTCTGTGGATAGACCTTTGTATGAAAATGACAGTTGACGAAAGCTCGATTTCAACAGTTAATTATTTTAACAGATTTTAACTTACACCAGTTTTTTAAATAATTAAAAAAACTGTTTGTTATGTTTTAAAGATACACATGAATATCTTATAATAATAGGCTAATAGGTATTTGCAATACTTGCAAGACTCTTTCTGCAAGACCAAATCCAAGACCAGGTGTATTGACGCAAGACCAAGACTGACCAAAGTCTCGTCTTGGTCTTGCATTTGGGCAACACTACTCGAAATGTGCATTATTACATAAAAACGCACACACAACAATCAACAAACAAATTATTCGTTTGTCTTTGTTAGTATACAATCATTTGTTGATATGGTGTAATCCGTTTTACCTATATTTTTAATTATTATTAAAAATATTATATTTAATAAACTGGTTAATTAAATAAATATTAAAAGCTAACTATGTTTTTCAGGTACGCTTGTAGACTCATGGTTTATGATGTCCAGTCCAATGCCAATCTTGGCTGTGGTCGTATCATACCTGTTCTTCCTTAAAATTGGAACTCGACTGATGAAAAACCGCACTCCGTTGCAACTGACCACGATAGTTAGCTACTATAACGCTGGTCAAGTGGTACTTGCCACTGTACTATGTATTAAGGTAAATAAATAATAAATATATAAAAACTACAAAAAAAATAATGTATGCTATAGAAATGCTTTCATACCCGTGAACGGATGCTACTAGTATTTAGTTATTTCGGCTATGTATTTGCGTGTTGTTCCCACGAGAATCTAAGTGCGTGCTCCTATTGCACCACGCCTACTGCTGATCATTTTTATTATTATTATTAATTAACTATTAATTAAGATGTCGTGTGGAACATGGTGTAATGGTTGCAGCTCCTTACAGACATTGTGTAAAACAAACAACTTGGCGATTAAAAAGAGTGGCGGAGAGTTTATTGCCAGTTCTTCTCGTCCGTTCTACGCCCTTGATTTGGGAACTGGTAGTAAATGTAAAATTAAAAGCATTTAGCATTTAATATGTATTTCTTTGAAGTTCATAAGTGTACATTGTGTTACCGAAATGAATAAATGATTTTGACTTTTTCAATGTCTTGAAACCTGCGATTCTGATGTGCCCAATTATATACAGAACACTCCAATGAAATTACGTACAAAGATGAAATGTGTCTGTCGCAGCCAACTAGCTTAGTAAGCCGTACAATTAACAGCCTAGTCTCTTAACTAAACAGCGCCGTTTAACTAGCGGCCTGAATGATATTCAGCCGTAACAACATTTAATACTCTGGCTGGCTAATACTTAGGCGATTCGTACGATAGAGCGACCAAGTGGCATTAAAAAAAAGATGCAACATGTGACATAAACAATATTTCTATAAAAAATAAATTGCTTGAGTCAGTCACAGCTAAATTCACATTGTTATTGTCACTACACTTTTCCAGTGTACTTGTTGTTTTTCATTGAACTTTGGAAAACCATCAAAGTTGTGTTTTGCCATATTGACAGTTTCGTTTCGAGTTTGAGAGTGGCAGAAAGTGGAACTAAATTTAAATAAACAGTTAACAGGCTAGGCAAGTAATGAAACGTCATCGATCCAAGTCATTTGCCTAGGTGTTCGAGCAACTGGTTGAATATCATTCAGGCCGATAGTTAAACGGCGCTGTTTAGTTAAGAAGCTAAGCTGTTATTTGAATGGCTAATTCAGCTAATTGGCTACGACATGTCCATTCAATCTTATAATTTCGCGGCAAGCGCAGATCTAACTCCAACTAACTCTAGAGAGTGCCTGTACTCTGCTACTTTCAATAGCGATACGGATCCCGCCTATATATATATAATACAAAACGTATACAATTTCAGGGCAGTTCTCTAAATGTCTATAGACGCCGTAGTGCAAAATCAGTCAATATTGAAATGAGAACAAAAGCCTACTCGCACTGCGATGAAGATTATAAACTGTGACTTAGCATATCATTTTACAATTTCAGGTGTTCAAGTTGAACCTTTTTAAAGATGGTATTATCTATGCAGGGTGTCGATATCCGTCGAATACTCAAAATCCTTTGGTGAGTTGTTTTTAAAATGATATCTTTATATAAATTTTTGCCACACACTTTGTTAAACTGTTCAATGAAGTGTTTCGAACGAATATCGACTGAAGATTCTGAGTCGAGAATTATCGTAAACTTTAACTAAAATCCAGCACGTGTTTGACATTCCGGAGTATCTTAGCGCTTTAGACTCTGAATGTTACCGTTAGGCTCCTTCAAGGAAGCTACTAATTCTAATTTTATGTGGGAGTTTATATGCTGTATGATTTAACATTAGATGATATCGGATTTCAAGGCAGAATACAAAATACCATCCGTATCACCTCGACATCCATCGGTCCACAACTGAGCGTTTCTTAAGGAAACTTTTGGTGCGTAACACTAATGTGGAAACAGCTTCCCACTGAAGTATTACCCAACCAATTCAATTTGGGGTCCTTCAAGAAAAGAGCGTACCAACTCTTAAAAGGCCGGCCGGCGAGCCTTCTGGCATTGTGAGTGTCCATGGGCCGGTATCACTTAACATCACCTGACCGTTTGCCTCCTGTTACATAAAAAAAACTTGTCCGTTTGACCCGTCTTATAAACAAAATCATGCATTTAAAATTAAAAAAAAAAGATTTATATAAATATCTTCCTTTATTGTAACATAATAATAATACTTAACTACGCCCTGTAAACATATCAATAATCACCCATCTTTTCAAAAGATGCACACACAATTATTTTTTTCCAAAGACCTCTTATATAATATACCTCTTGTAAACATACGAGTTATGTAAATGATGTGATTTTTCTTAATTACATCTTGGTGGTAGTAACCGCGTAACAAATATCTCGTTTCAGCTCCTGGACTTGGGCTGGTGGTATTTCTTCGCTAAATTCACAGAACTTTTGGACACCGTTTTCTTCGTTTTGAGAAAGAAAGACAAACAGGTAATTTTTTTACCATTTTATATTTTTGAGTTATAGAAACATTTTGGTATTCAATACGATCAGTGGTGAGAGAAATATCACTATTTCGAACAGATTATTAAAAGAGCCAGTACCGTGGACTTCGATTCTGACCCAACTCTGCATACGAACTGTCTACAATATGCCGACAGCAGATCTTATTTTGGTCGTACAAAGCGCAGAGGTAAGAACTTGGAGAAACTGATCGTGGTTGATCACACAGAAGGCAAAAGATCACGGGGCTGTTCACCAACCAGATGGAACGATCAACTGAAAGACTCATCGTCCTCAAAACTATCCACTGTCATAAGAGCTGGACAGAAACTGGTGGAAACAGATTGTCCGATCCAGATATTTCCTCGACGACTGAAGAGAGACAGAGAAAGACTATACTGCTATCAGAGTCTCTACTGAAACAACTAAGCTTGCTGGCGAAGTTTAGTAAATGAACCTTAACTTCCTAAAAACAAATTTCCCTACTTATTTAATCATCCACAATAATTGTTTCTTTAAATACTCTTTTTCCTGCTTTCGTAAAAATAAACGTCAATATTTATATATTTGTGATATGGCTATATCTTTAGTCTAATTGTTTTTTGTTATATACAATTTGTTAGCTGTAGAATTACGAAATAAATAAATTGAAATTTGATTTGCTTCGTTTACGCCCTTCGCAAATGGCAGTAAATGTAATATTTTTCAGATTTTAATTGAGATTCATTGTACACTTATGTTACCTATAAAACAATAATTTGATTTCGGTTGCCCCAACAGGTGACATTCCTCCATGTATACCACCACGTTGTGATGGCTCTCTATTCTTGGAGCTATCTCAAATTCGCTGCTGGAGGTGAAGGAGCCGTCTTGGCACTTCTCAACTCGGCTGTGCACATCGTCATGTATTCATACTATTTCCTATCTGGTTTGGGTCCAAAGTTCCAGAAGTATCTGTGGTGGAAGAAATATGTGACCAAAATGCAACTGGTAAGTTAAAAAAAAATGTTTTGGACATGTTTCAACTATTACAGCCATAGTTTGTTTAAGAGTTTGAATCGAGATGCACTAAGTATAATACCCGTACGTCAGAAACTTGGATTTTGACATACAGTTATACTACTACTACATACTTTTGTAGGTATAAATAAGATTAATAGTCGAACAAATTATTTTTTAAATAATTAAAATATATTTCGTAACCCAATTTATTATTTTACCTTAAATAATGTCATAGGCAAATATAAGTACGTATACGGCAGTTAGACTTGATCGTGTCGTGTTACCATGGTTACGGTGTAAATAAATGCTAACAATTCTCTACTTCAACAAGGCGTATCGAAGTTCACTTTACGTCTATAGACATTGTTGATTTTTTAAAAGTATTATAATAGATCAATACAGCCTTATGTATGAACAGAGTATGCACTCTGTAGCTATCAAAAGCGATCTATAATTGGCAGAATTTAATGCCGCCGATCTTTGGTTTTAAAATAATTGGGAACAGACGACACCGACATGTCAAGTTAGCTAATACATAGATGGCGCCATTTATGTCATAAATTAATAGATAGCTTAGATAATAATATAGCTTAGATAATAATATACAAAAAGAAATATATTTATACAATTTTATTAAGCTAAGATGCTGCCTCCGACCGAAGAAGGCCTCCTCCAACTTATTCCAACCATATTTTTTTCCGTGCTCTTTTGGTCTTCCCGTGAGTAGATAAATAAAAATAATAGAGATCTCTTACTCCTAATAAATTTAACCATTCCTTTAAATTGCGCCATCTATGGGTAGCATTAACTAACTTGACACATGTCATCATCTATTCCTAATTATCGTAAAAACCACACATTACAAGGTTAGAGATATTATATTTTGCTAATTATTTATTTCATAACTGAGTAAAATGGTGAATATTTGGCCTATAGTACACTATCTTTATTTTTTTGGTTTTTTTATTAATATCAAGTTATACTTTGGATTAAGACTTGTAGATTATACTCGTAGTCTTCTTTAGACTTCGACAGGACTAAAACTGTGTAATTTGAATTTCAGAGCCAGTTCATTTTAATGCTTGTGTATTGCATCTGGACGTACTTCTCACCGCAATGTCAATACGCGGCCGGATTCACTTACTTCATATCTTTCAATGTCATCGTATTCTTGCTGCTTTTCGTTAATTTTTACTCAAAAAGTTATAAGAAAGATGCAAAGGAGAGCATTCAAAATGGCCACAACAAAATGAACGGGCATAATAAAATTAAAAATACAAAGATGGCTATTAATGGTACAAAGGTGCCTTATGATAAGTTTGGAGTAAAATCTGATAATGGTGTAACAAGAAGATCAGTAAAGGAATCGAGCGGACCAGATTTTAACTTTAGGAACTTTGAAAAATGATGTGTCAGTAACGAATAATGGTGGTTATTGTTGGTCGTCACTAGATGGCGCTGTTTACGAATGCGATACATAGTATCACAGCAGATCAATTTGGCAGCGACGTGATCTTTTTAACAAAGGAACGATAACGTTAATTAATATAGTATTAAAATTTAAATTATGTAAAACATTCGCACCCTTTAAAGCACATAATTTTAAGATATTCCATAAAAGCAGGCGTTCATTTCCCCTCAATTAGCTTTCAGTGCTCTTAGAACCCGTAACTGAAATCAGCGCCATCTAGTGGTGCCAACATGAACTTCCTGAATCTTCTGAGACTGATGATTGTGATTTAAATGGCTTTGTTGAAATCAGAGGGTTTGTATCTAAGTTCAATGTAAATATAGATATGGTTGCCTTTCGCAGTTAAACATTAGATAAGTACAAGTAAGTAAATGCCTGTTTGAGAAAACAATATAATAAGTAAAGAGTAGAAAGTAGTGGTAAATACATATCGTTTCGATTGTAATTTATTTTCAATGGACTAATAGAATGAAAAATTTTAGACAATAATTTCTAAGTTGTAATGTGTGCTTAACTTTTTTTTAAGGTAGGTACGAATAATGTATGGTCCAGAAAGAATTTATTATGTTAAGACTGGAAGAGCAATTTTGCAATAAGCCACCTTTGCTAATGAGTTTATATGTATTTTGCCAATAGGTTTAAAAATACAAATTTAGTTCATTAAAATTAAGGGAATATAAATAACCTGCGTAGTAACGTAAGCTTTGGTTGGACAAAATAAGATTTTGACAATTGACATTGAATTGGAACTTGACAAAAATGGCGGGCTTTGTTAATCATCAATTGCATTTTGCTAGTATAAATTACTTTAGTCTCACGAAGTAGGTTTTACTTGATAGCGAAAAAGAACACGAAGGTCTATGGTCAAAAAGATGTCGAATGTCAATGGATTCGGTCATAATATTAATATTGCACCTCCGATTCTTATGATATTTATCAAAATAAACTACAATCTGACTATGAGGATTCCGGCCAAAATATATTTTTAAATAAGTAGCTACGTTGCAATTAATTAGGTATATAATTGCAAATACTCTTTAGTTGAACTAAAAATTTGTATATAAAATGCTTAATAACCCCTATTATAACTTTTCAATAGCGATTAACTATACATTAGCGTCCTCTATACATAATATAAGAGACGAATAAAGGTGGAAACATACTACTAAAACGCCACGCGACGCAACGTGTCGACACCCGATGTCCATCGTGCACATTACCAACACGCGACACCACGACACACTTGCAAATTCAGAAGTCATTTAGCTGACAATAGACATTTGTGCCAAAAACTCGAACGTTTGACGCTTGGCGTCAACAACACGACAACACGCCGATCCAAATCGATTGGATGTTACCGCGTGTGATCACATGGCGTGTTGTCTATGTGCATCTGACCATATTAAATATATTGGATTGATATACTTATCAATCTGACATGCGTCGGATGGCGTGGTGTAGCGTCGCGTTTTGGTAGTATGTTTCCGCCTTAAGTTCTGTATTGGTACTAAGGTGCTATTTGTTACTATGGTTACAATATTTCTTCCGCGAATATATCGTTACCATGGTAACATACGCACTGTATTAGAAGATTTTAGGACGAGTTTTAACTACACGGTTTTGTTTTTTACGAACCAATGAAAATTTACAAATATATAGCTAATATACATAACAGAAAACTTTAAACAAATTAATATTTTTAAGGGGATCATAACGTTATTACTAGTAAAGCCTTACCAACGTGGAATGTTTTAACTTGTTAGAAAAACCTACATTTCCTGCTCGTAGATATTAAAAGGAATGCGTTATTTTACTGAAGATTTTTGTTCTTAAATTAAAGAAATTCAGTTTCTTAGTTTCAGAAACGGAAATAACAATTCAGATTATCAAATCTGCATGTTTATCAAAAAATAATTTCTTACAAAGAACTTATTTTTACATTAAAAACTTCTGTCGTTAAATTAAGAAACAAGTTTTCTTAGCATGCATAGACCCAAATATCAACGTCATGTCAGTCTGTAGTTGTTAATAAAAGAAATCATTTTTGACATGAGACAATCACTTTTACGGAACTACTAAAAAATTGTAAATCTTATTATTTTTTATTGTCTGCTTTTTTCACCATTGTACATAGTTGGTAGGGCTGTACAAAATCATTATTCAGCATAGTAAAACTTTTGCAACTTTTCGTTGTATATAATATTGTTAGTAAATACGTCTCCAAAAAACTCCATAATATATTGAATATACTGCCTAGCAGATAGTTTTGATTTTCTCGGTTGAGATTAGCTTTTAAGTTTGCTTTGTAATTTTTCGTAAACTTAGCAAATGCGCTTTTGATGGTTAGTTTAATGTTGTTTAAGTGTCTTATTTAAGATACTTTTATTGGATGAATAATTTTAATCTTTAATGATTTAAACGACAAATGGTCGAGCCATAAGTGTCACTAAAGGCCTGTATTCACTTAGTGCAGGCGATTAGTGAGTAGGAGAAAACAAGTGTGGACTGCGACTGATTAGTGCAGGGGATTAGTTATCTGCGTAGTAAAGTGATTAGAAGCGTGTTCTATTTTTTTGCGAGTGAACTGCGAGTAGTGACTAGTGACGTCGCGTGCGCCCTCCCTTCCCCCTCACTCGCAGCGTGCCTGCCAAACTATACGACTACTGAATTTACTTAACAGAGCCACTAAACAATAATTGGACACTACTTGCACTACACACCTGCACTAATCAATGTCAGTTACTAATCACTTTCACTCAAACTAATCAAAGTGAATACAGGCCTTAAGCATTGGCCAGATTTTTTGATTACCCATTAGCCTTTTTGGTCATAAATTTTGGCAGCAGTCAACCGTTTAACTTACTATTGTATTAAAAATTGCCTTCACTATATTCAATATTTGTTTGGTTCAGTCAACTCAATAGACAAAATTGTATTAATATAATAAACATCAGTAATACCGACATCATTGTTGATTTTTTGTACCGCGGGTTTCCAATTATTTCAAAATTGCATCCAAAAAGTGTACTTTCATTAGACTAGCTATCTTCAAAAGCGCATTTTGCCACGACGTTATTTATTCCGGAAGGTGCTAATACAGTAGACCTTGCATTCAAAATGCTTCAAATCCTTGTAGATAATCTCTTCTGCAATAGGTTAACTTGGAGTTTTATAAGAAGTAGTACAAAATTATACGAATCGAAATATGCCAGTGAGAAGAAACGCTTTATATAATATGTAAATCGCACAATAAATTTATATTAGTGAAATAATTTAGATAAGGTATGCTGAGGGCTCTGTCTTCCCGACATCTGAGTTTTCTGTGAAATAAATATTATTATTGAATTATGTGTTTTATTACATCCCCCATCTTTTCCTCAGACTGCAACTGTTTTTTAGAAGTGAGCCTGCTCTGCCATTGTTTTACATGCAATTAATTTTTGGCTGGCATTCCAAGAATTCCTTCATTCAATGGCAGAATGTTGAATGCGGACATACAAAATATATTGATGTCTAGACGTGATTCGACTTCTTGGTTGTAAGCCAAATACCGCTGTTAAATCTGAATCTAATTAAATGATAATATATGTGAGGGTTGTAACCCTACTAAATAGTGAAATAAATAAGTGCGGGTGCAACTATTTCATAAAAATCTCTCGTAAAGAAATTTTGAAGACTAAAAAGACATGAGTATTGTCAGCTGACACCAAACCTTTGATCCTCTCTGTGTGGTTCTAAATAGAGTTTCTTTTGTAGAATTCATTGGCAATTCAAAATTATTCGACTCAAAAATATCAGACACAATATTTTTTCTTAGTTTTAGTTTGCGAAGTTTAGTATGTAAGAACGAGAACAAAATTAAAGCTAAAAAAATTAGATGAGTTATTAATATGTACATTTTCCGACAATTGTCGTAGCTGCATATAGTTTCTTTTGTCAAATAAATTTAATTAAAATTTATTAAAGAAGCTGCTTCTGAAGTATTGGAATTTTATAAACCTCTAATGTGATACATATATAATGTAGCTATGCAAAACAATTGGCAAATATCCCCCTTGTACCGACTGCGAAGATGTCGAGTTTATAGCTATACAACGACTTTGATTCGTTGAAGATTTCAGTGTATCTAGACACAATTGCAAAAACTATGTTTAATAATATTTAATTAATTACTTAACTATGTATATATTATTACAAAAACAACAAATCATTATTCCCTAAAATATCATATATTATTTTAAACCAGCTTCCGCCCATTGTCCTTCCACGCATTGATTTCGCGTATTAAAATACGAGTATAGCATAATTAACACACCTAAACCTTATTTAGGAATCTGTATTATAGGTCAAAACTACAAAAATTTCCGCCGTCTGTTTTTTTTATTTTTATAGAACAGGGCAAACGGGCAGGAGGCTCACCTGATGTTAAGTGATACCGCCGCCCATGAACACTCTCAATGCTAGAGGGCTCGCGAGTGCGTTGCCGGCCTTTCGAGTATTGGTACGCTCTTTTCTTGAAGGACCCTAAGTCGTATTGGTTCGGAAATACTTCAATGGGCAGTTGGTTCCACAAAGTGGTGGTGCGCGGCAAAAACTGCCTTGAAAAACGCTCAGTTGTGTATTTTTCCAAATTTATAATGAGTCATTTGAAAATATTCGAATACCAGTCTTCATTTAGTTCGGCTGACGCCATCGATATAGAAAAAGATGTCTTCAGGCAATTTTCAATTGGCTGTAAGCATATATTTATATAGGTATTTTATTGGGGCTCTTCTTCGCCAACATGTCTCTCAATGCAGCGAGTTAGTCAAGCTTAAGCTGTTAATATAATATAATTATTTATATTATATGATAATTAGTTATCTAATGTCAATGTATAAATTATATATTTTTATAGGTATCTTTTTTAAAGGGTTATTTCATAGGAATTCACTTCGATATAGAGGGCAGAGGGTTTTGGATCTAAAGTGGTGTGTGTTATGTATCAGGTTGAACAGGATAAAAATCCTGGGAGAGGAGAAGCGTACAAAGAAAAAAGTGCCTACGTTAGTGTTTGGTAAGCATTCCCAAAGTGGATCGCCTTGGACATGAAAAATATTCAAGGGAAAATTATTGATATAAGAAACGGCGTTCATTAAGTTGATACTAAGTTTTGCACTATTAAAAACTGGTTTTCGCAGCAACAGTTGCAGTTCTCAGATATAGACTGTGGCGATGAAATTACAGAAAATCTTATTTCTTTAAGAGAGGCTGTGGAAAGTTGATCACCTTTCGGTGGCCAACTATTCCGTAAAAGTGATTGTAAGCCTGCTGTGAATCAATGTCGGCATTAAAGTTTGCTTGTTTTAAAAAACAAAGTGCTTTGCGGATGCAAAGTCCATGGAAGTTTTTTTAATGGTAAAATAAAAAACATATTCACTTTAGGTGCATATGTTACACGCATTGGTTAGAATAATTAACATATAACCCATATTTAAATGTGTGCTATTAGAGGGGTAAGGTCCAATGACGTTAGAATTGCGAGTTCAGTGTTTTTAATTAAATTATTTTGTTTAAAATATACTTGCAAGAGTACCCTATAACTAATGGTGATTTTTTTAACTTCGTTATTAAGGTAAATTTCTAAGAAATACTAATAAATCTCAAGAATGAAGTAGATTATTCTATCAATAATTAAAATCATTTACAGAAGTGGAGTATAAGGTTCAATGTTCTGTTAATAATAACTGCATTTTTATTTCCTTTAATTAAATTATGCTTAAATCTTGTTGATGCTTGAAGAACACAAATTATTGTGTTCTTCCGAATCGTTGAACCGATTAATTATATTAAGTTCAACTATACTTTATTTAGTTAGTTACAAATTACAATCACTTAGAGTCTGGCTAATGAAAGTTGATACTGAAAAAGCGCGGCAAATTTAAAAAATATCAGCATGGCAGCCCTAAAGTAAAAAGGAAAGTTAGAACAACTCACTTTGATACTTTGACATTCATTTTTATTTTACTAGTGGATGCTTGCAATTTTGTCCGCGTTATGAGGAGATTAAAAGTAGCTTATTAGGTCCTTACATATGAAATTGGCGTTTTGTATGGGAGGAACAAAAAGTCGAATATTTTTAAATATAATATATTTAATTAATCAAAATATGAACCATTGTTTTCTATGCACTTTTGCCATCTCATAGGTAGTTCATTGATCCCTTTACTATAAAAACCAGTCGGACGGGAATCAATAAAATCTGTGAAGGCGATTTGGACTGCCCCATCAGAGTTAAATTTTTTCCCTTGCAAGAAGTTGTCCAAATTTTGAAAAAAATGGTTATCTGTTGAAGCAAGGTCCGGGGAGTACGGAATATGTCTTAGACATTCCAATTGAAGCTCTTCTAATTTGGTAGCCGTCTGTTGTGCAGTGTGTGGTCTAGCGTTGTCGTGAAGTGGCAGTGGCGTGGAGCGATTGACCAGCCTAGGTTGTTTAGCCGCTAGCTTTTCCATCATAGTTTGTAATTGCTGACAATAGACATCAGCCGTAATAGTCTGGCCAGATTTGAGAAAACTGCAATGAACAATACCGGCACTAGTCCACCAAACGCTTACAAGTAACTTTTTGGGGTTAATTTTCGCTTGGGGCAGGATTTGGCTGGCTGGCTAGGATCCAACCATTGCGCTGAGCGCTTCCGATTATCGTAAAGAATCCATTTTTCATCACAGGTAATGATTCAGTTTAAAATACCTTCATTATTGTGCCGGTTCAGTAATGTAACGCAGCAGTCGACGCGCGTTTGCCGGTTTGCTTCAGTCAATTCGTGAGGAGAGCCAATTTGCTTAAAGTGAATTAAAACAGTTTTATCACTAACACCGCAGCCTGCAGCTAACTTGGACGTGGTTTGCGATGGATCCGCTTCCACAATAGCCTTCAATACTTCATTATCAACTTGGGTGTCAGGCCGTCCACGGGGTTTGTTCTGCAGGTCGAAATTTCCAGAACGAAAACGTTGGAACCAAAAACTGTGTTTTCTTTTGCAACATGACCCCCATACACATCATTCACCCTTCGAGTCGTTTCCGCAGCACTAGTGCCATGGCGGAACTCGTACTCGTAAATAATGCGATACTTTAAGTTTTCCATTTTGTAAAATGAGTGTCGCAAACAGAAAAAAACAGAAGAAAAAAACAAATGAATGACAGTCATTGAAGCACAAATACATGAGTAAATAGCTGTACATGTGAATTTGGAATTCCTTACCAAAGAGGAGAACATCGTGGTTAAAGTAGCCAGTACGAAATACGCCAATTTCATATGTAAGGACCTAATATATCACTTGTCAACTCTTTATTAACTCCATGCCAAACATCGCACGGATACGTCACTCCATTGTGGCGTATTAATGATCTAAATCTGTGACCTTTTCAATTGCTTGTTTTACTTCAGCAGTTCGTGCATTATCCTCAAGACTATCTGCAAAATAACAATAACATTATCTCAAGTAACTAAAACTAATATGTACTTATTTAAAATAAAAAAATATCAAGACGTTTTGACCGTACTAACTTTAGTGTTGTCATATAAAAAGTTTGCAAAAAAATCCAGTATCTACTTTCGTTAGCCAGACTCTAGTAAGAAAATTTAAGGTAGTAATTGTGTACGCTCGTTCACAGATATATAGAAATTTATCATAAATAATATAGAAAGTAAAATAATAATTATTGAATAACGCTTGCCTTTAATACGAGGAAATTCATATAATTTCTCTTCATACTCATATGATCCTTTTAGATATCATAAACCTAAATCAGTCTCAATGCATATCTAAAATAGATTTTCGTCTCATTCGGTCAAATTGTGTTTACGCTGTGATGAAAAAAGACAGCAACGTTAGACGTACTGATTTTCTTAAAGAATAAAAATCCTAACAATTAATCAAGAACATAATTCTATTAATGTTGACGGTGTAACTCAACCGTTTGAAGTGTTATTTTTGCGTAAATTAAATCATTATTACATCGTGGGTTATACAAAAATTTAAATAAATTGCGTAATTATATTATGGTAATGTATATATCAATACAAAGCTAATTTTGCCATTGCAAACTGGAACGTCGAGGCTAACGAATGCATTACTTTAGTTTCATAAAGATATAATATTTTATATGTGTAAAGTGTGATTAACAGTTAAACGAAAATGGATATTCTTAACATAACAAGAGCTAATACTGAATGGCAGCCAGATTCAAAAAGTGAGTACCAATTCATTGTTTTCGTTTAAAAGTGGCAAAATCCCTTGGTTTTGTCTTCCGGTTATTTGTATCTGTATCATGATCACTTTTTTTAAACAAGCATATAAATGATAAGCAGCAGCAGCTAAAGCAGTGTTGGCCTAGTGGCTTCAGCGTGCGACTCTCATCCCTGAGATCGTAGGTTCGATCCCCAGCTGAGCACCAATAGACTTTCTATGTGCGTATTTAAGATTCGATCGAACGGTGAAGGAAAACATCGCGAGGAAACCGGCTTGCCTTAGACCCTAAAAGTCAACGGCATGCGTCAGGCACTGAAGGCTGATTACCTACTTGCCTATTAGATTACCAAATGATCATGAAACAGATGCAGAAATCTGAGGTCCAGACCTAAAAAGGTTGTAGCGCCATTGATTTATTTTTTTATGGAGGAATGCCGGTTGTTCACGATGTTTTTACTTTACTGTACGAGCATGTGTTCCCACAAAGACACAGGTCAAACTCAAAACCTCCAAGAAGGTGCAACCTTTTGAAGGTTGTATATAAACAGGTAATTGTTTCAGATGTAGATATCAACGAATGGTTCCTAATGGGATCGCCCGCACCAGTTTTATTAATTATGGCGACTTACTGGTTGTTCGTGATTAAAGTGGGGCCATCTGTGATGAGTAAACGTTCGCCATTAACTCTAAGAAATATCATGGCTGCCTATAATTTTGGACAAATAATACTAGCATTTGCCATATTCTCCAAGGTTAGTATCATAATATAAATAACAAAAAATATGTTTGAAAAATGAACGTTTTCAAACCAAAACACCATTCTATGCCGAGAATTGAACCGTGTTCACAACGTACGTGAACAAGTATCGTACGTGTGCGTTAACCACGGCGTTTATTGAATGTATTAATGAATTAAAACATTGATATTGTAGGGTGCTGCTTTCATGTGGAATAATGGATTTATACAAACCGAATGTATAATGGAAAATATTGAATTAAAACATTCTGTAAGTATATTCAATAACGAACTTTTTTTGTTTACATTAATATTGTAGACTAATTGTATGTAAATCCTATAATCATAATGCATAATGGATGTGTTTTTGTGTATTTAAGTATTTAAAGAGTACAGCTTACTAGCCAGTGGACTGCGAAATGTGTGTTTAAAATTTAAATGTATCTGTATAGTATATGTATTGGAGCGTTCAAGTATTACGTAACGCAATTTTTAAAGATTTTAGAAGCTCCCTCCCCCCCATGTAACGCACCTTAACGTTTTTCTGTAGCCCCCCTCCCCTCCCTTAACGTTACGTAACATTTAAGTGACCATTAAAGACACAATCATGTTAAACAAAGTAATACCTTTGTTATTGTATTAATTGCGTTTGCAGTTGTAATAAACAAAAGAAGAGATTTTTAAGTTATATGTATAACATCCTTTATATGTTATAAAAACTTTTCTTTGTTTTTTAGTTTTTCTTTAGCCGTTTTCCAAATTTCGTTGGCATTTTTTTGGTACAATTGTGCTGGCTAGTTAATATGACAGCTTTTATATGCCATGAACAGCTGATGATGCAAATCTCCCGCTTTCGAGGACATTACGGTATTTCCTCAATCTTTAACAACACTGACAACAGCAGTGTGCTTCTGTGTAAACTCTAATAAAATAAAAATCACGTACAAACAGTCGAGGGATTCCCGAAACGTAAACTTAGGAAAGCAAAAATAAAAGTAGCGTACAATACAATAAAGGGATTCCCCGTGCAACATAAACGAAAAGGGTTGCCAATTAATCCCCGTTTTTTTATTAAAACTGCTGCTGGAGTACTGCTCTCACCTCTGGGCGGGGGCTCCCCAGTACCAGCTCCTTCCACTTGACCGTATACAACGCAGAGCGGTTCGAATCGTGGACGACCAATCCCTCTCCGAGCGGCTTGATCCTTTGGCGTTGCGTAGAGATGTGGGGTCACTCTGCATCTTCTACAGCATTTACCATGGAGAGTGTTCAGAGGAGTTGTTCGGATTAATACCTGCAGCTGAGTTTCATCATCGGACGTCGAGACAGAATACGAAATTCCACCCGTATCACCTCGACGTCCGCCGTTCCACAACTAAGCGTTTTTCAAGGCAGTTTTTGCCGCGCACCACCACTATGTGGAATCAGCTGCCCACTGAAGTATTTCCGAACCAATTCGACTTAGGGTCCTTCAAGAAAAGAGCGTACCAATTCTTAAAAGGCCGGCAACGCACTCGCGAGCCCTCTGGCATTGAGAGTGTCCATGGGCGGCGGTGTCACTTAACATCAGGTGAGCCTCCTGCCCGTTTGCCCCCTGTTCTATAAAAAAAAAAAAAAATAAAAATAAAAAAATAAAAAATCTTACGTAACGCGTTGTTCAAATAACCCCCCTCCGGCCTATGTAACGCACTGTAACGTTTCAAAAGACTCCCCCCTCCCCCCAAATTGCGTTACGTAATACTTGAACGCTCCCAATTTAATGTATGTATGAGCAAACTGCAACTAAGAACTAAATATATGCGAGGGTGAGATGTAAGAACCTAATAACCCTACAGACGTACCCTAACACATAAATAGTGAATATATAAATAAGTACGGGATGCACCAAGAGACCTAAGGTAACAGACGGAGCCCTACTGGTAGGATCAAAAGTTCATGGTGGTGGAATTATCTCAAAGCTATCGGGCAGGCTCACCACGACAATTAAGGGCTTGAAGTAGTCTTAGCCATTTTGTTACACATTCAAACATACAATATATTTTTCTTGAGAGCTGATTCTCTATCGCACACCTTCAGCTGCTAAAATAACAGCTAATAAGCTGTTAGAACAGCCACGTGAGCCGTGTCAGCAGTTGGTCCATTTTCAAATGAAATCTGAAGAGAGAGTAATATGTATAAAATATGCCTGTAAATATTGATTAATTCCAAAATTTTTGTTATTAAAATTATCGTGATTGTCCCTCAAGCCTTGGAGATTAACTTCGACGAATGTTTGTGATCGAAAAATAATAAACGTGTATTTGTGTAATTTAAGAATAATTTTTAAGACGTAAAAACTTGATCTTTGTTTACGTATAGTACGTCATAGGACCTGGTGCGACGCTAGAGGTATTGGCGTGTTCTTGGAATTATTCATGTTTAATTTGAATTTTTAAAGCCAATACCTAACATCATTTAAAATTTCCATTTGTAGGTTGTATAAATATATAAATCAGTGGCGCTACAACCTCCTTAGGTCTGGGCCTCAGATTTCTGTATCTGTTTCATGATCATTTGTCAATCTAATAGGCAAGTAGGCGATCACTCCCGTGCCTGATACACGCCGTCGACATTTTGCATCTAAGGCAAGCCGGTTTCCTCACGATGTTTTTCTTCTCCGTTCGAGCGAATGGTAAATGCGCACATAGAGAGTAAGTCCATTGGTGCACAGGGATCGAACCTACGACCTCAGAAGTAACTAGTCCAACATGGGTCGCTGGTAGGTTGTATAGACACTAAATAACCTTGATTGATATAGTTTTTAACGCTTGTAAGAATAATCATCTATCAGTAGACATAGTAATTTCATATTCATTTGCAGGTTACGAACGGCGTCTATTTGTACCTTATAACAAAAATCACCGAGCTACTGGATACAGTGTTTTTCATACTTCGTAAAAAGTATAACCAAGCGAGCTTTCTTCACATATACCATCACTCTATTACAGTATTAAGCACTTGGATAGCCTTAAAATACGAGCCCAATACCAACTCCACACTGTTCGTGGGAACTTTGAATTCATTTGTACATATAATAATGTACACTTATTATGCATTGTCTGCATATCCACAATTGACAAAATATCTGTGGTGGAAGAAGTATATAACGAAATTGCAACTGGTAATGAGTTATTTGTTTTTATAATTGTAGTAAGGTTACATATTATATTAGGTCCTTACATATGAAATTGGCGTTTTGTATGGGAGGAACAAAAAGTCGAATATTTTTGAATATAATATATTTAATTAATCAAAGTATGAACCATTCTTTTCTATGCACTTTTGCCATCTCATAGGTAGTTCATTGATCCCTTTACTAAAAAAACCAGTCGGACGGGAATCAATAAAATCTGTGAAGGCGATTAGGACTGCCCCATCAGAGTTAAATTTTTCCCTTGCAAGAAGTTGTCCAAATTTCGAAAAAAATGGTAATCTGTTGGAGCAAGGTCCGGGGAGTACGGAGGATGTCTTAGACATTCCAATTGAAGCTCTTCTAATTTGGTAGCCGTCTGTTGTCCAGTGTGTGATCTAGCGTTGTCGTGAAGTAGCAGTGGCGTGGAGCGATTGACCAGCCTAGGTTGTTTAGCCGCTAGCTTTTCCATCATGGTTTGCAATTGCTGACAATAGACATCAGCCGTAATAGTCTGGCCAGATTTGAGAAAAGTGCAATGAACAATACCGGCACTAGTCCACCAAACGCTTACAAGTAACTTTTTTGGGGTTAATTTTCGCTTGGGGCAGGATTTGGCTGGCTGGCCAGGATCCAACCATTGCGCTGAGCGCTTCCGATTATCGTAAAGAATCCATTTTTCATCACAGGTAATGATTCGGTTTAAAATATCTTCATTATTGTGCCGGTTCAGTAATGTAACGCAGCAGTCGACGCGCGTTTGCCGGTTTGCTTCAGTCAATTCGTGAGGTACCCATCTTTCAAGCTTTTTAATCTTCCCAATTTGCTTCAAGTGAATTAAAACAGTTTTATCACTAACAGCGCAGCCTGCAGCTAACTCGGACGTGGTTTGCGATGGATCCGCTTCCACAATAGCCTTCAACACTTCATTATCAACTTGGGTCTCAGGCCGTCCACGGGGCTTGTTCTGCAGGTCGAAATTTCCAGAACGAAAACGTTGGAACCAAAAACGAACTGTGTTTTCTTTTGCAACATGACCGCCATACACATCATTCACCCTTCGAGTCGTTTCCGCAGCACTAGTGCCACGGCGGAACTCGTACTCGTAAATAATGCGATACTTTAAGTTTTCCATTTTGTAAAATGAGTGACGCAAACATAAAAAAACAGAAGAAAAAAACAAATGAATGACGGTCATCGAAGCACAAATACATGAGTAAATAGCTGTACAAATTCCTTACCAAAGAGGAGAACATCGTGATTAAAGTGGCCAGTACGAAAAACGCCAATTTCATATGTAAGGACCTAATATTTATTGTGGAAAATTCATAAAGAATATTATTTATTTATCGTTAATGAATAACGTCCCGAAGTCATAAAAGTGTCTAATAATTTTCTTGAATTCGATTTATATGTCGCAGCCAACTAGCTTAGTAAGCCGTTCAATTAACAGCCTAGCCTCTTAACGAAACAGCGCCGTTTAACTAGCCTGAAAGATATTTGACGTTTGATATTTAAGGATTCGCTCTTGTTATGTAAATTATTTGTTTACAATACCATCAAGATTTAGACATTTAAGGGTGTATAGATTTGGAATTATATGAATCAATGGATCGGTCGTCTACGTAAACGCAACTAACCAAAATCTAATTAAAAGGTCAAAGTGTATTCACTATTGTTATTCATGAATGTCAGATGTCAACTTGAAGAAATTTTTCATGATTATGTTAAGTATGTTAATTTTATAATATTTTTTATCTTTTTCAGGTACAATTCGCCATGATGATAGTCCACTTATTAATAGAATATAATGTTACAAAATGCAAACCGTCCTACGTTATAATGTCAATAATGCTGTTTAATTTAGTATTTTTCCTGTATCTATTTAGTAATTTTTATTCGAAAACATATAAAGAAGCGAATGTAGTAACCAATGGAAAAACAAAGAATGTAGATTAAGCATAGATAATAAAGCTTTAAAGTATAGACACATCATAAGTTGTCTTTTTTACCTTTAGCATAAATTGAACCAATTTTCATGCGGCTTTGGATCAATGGATTGTTCATACAATGTGCGGTTTTTTCGCATCGGATCATATCGGCATATCTAAGATTCAAAAAATCATGAAGTGAAGACACAGGCGGATTTATTAAGACATTACCTTTCCTCCATGCAATGAACAATATAATGTTAGGTTAGTTTGAACTTTTTTTTACAAATTCCTTATATATAAAGTCATCCTAAAGCCCATATGGACATATGACCTCCAACTGTAGGGCAGCGAAAGTGATAACAACATAAATATACTCCTGCGACAACAGAACAAGATCCTAAGAGCAATTGCAAAAGTACCATGGTACATAACCAACAACGAAGTTCACGAACACCTTAAAATGAGAACTATTAAAGAGGAAATGCGGAGAGTGGCAGCGGTTAACCTGTCACCCGAACGAACTTGCTCGACAACTCACCATTGAACAGTATGTGAGTCGACTAAAACGTCACCATAGACTCTAGAGCTAGAAGACCGGCAGTAGCTCTAGGCAGAAGATGAGTAGATGCTTCCAATGGGAAGTCACTACACATGACAGCACCACAGAATAGATTCGCTCAAAGCCTTAGAGCTGATTACAGCAGGAGGCATGGTGTAATAGGAGCACGCACTTTCTTAATAACTATATGTATTATGTATTTTTGCACTTCTTGCTTACCTTATCTAATTTAATACATTATTTATCACAGTGGTTGTTGCCCTCCTTTTCATTTATGTTTTACTATTTATTTATTTCGTAATCCTACAGCTAACATAAATTATATATAATAACAAACAGTTACACTGAAAATATAGCCAGAGATGGAATACATAATACATTTTACTACAAAAAGGTTCAAAAATTTACAAAATCAAACAAACAAACAAAAAAAAAATTCAATACATATTCAACTAAATAATACCTAATTTGGCTGTGTTGTGTGATGGTGTAAAAGTGAGTGTAAGTACGTGAAGGTGTGTATGTGGGGTATGATCATGATGCAGATGATTTTGCGCTATGGATATTCTTAATACTCCTTTTAACCATATTCCGCGACAGCTTAAACAGGTCAAGGCTTAAATATTGGTCGTTGTATGTCCGGGCTGCGCGATACAAAACTGAGTTTTTTGCATAGTTAGTGTTAATGTGAGGAACATGAAACAAAGCACGATTACGAGTCTGGTAGGCAGGAACAAGGAAGGGATTTTTTTCTAGAAGGGAGCTGCAATTAATTTTATTTGAGATGATGTCATGTAGTAGCAATAAATTATATTGTTTTCGTCGAGAGTCTAAAGTATTAATTTTAAAATGTTCACACGCGTCTTTATATGTATTAAACTTATTGTAGGTCTTATAGGAGATAAATTTTATGAAGTCTTTTTGGATCTTTTCAATTTTTTCTTTGTGTACAGTGTAACTAGGTGACCAAACCGAGCAACCATATTCGAGAATACTAATTCTTACGTATGTATAGTATAGCACTTTCATACAGTCGACATCATGAAAATGTTCACTAACACCTCTTACAAAACCAAGCTGCTTATAGGCCTTGTCAACTTTTGTGTCAATATGGTTATTATACGTCATTTTATAGTCTAACCATATACCTAAGTCACGAACACAATCTACTTCTTTTACGGATTTGTTATTAATATGATAGCTAAAGTTAATTTTGTTTTTTTTTCTGGTGAATGTTATTTTGACACATTTAGAAGTATTAACCGATATTTGATTTTGTCTATAATAATTGGAAAGGTTATTTAAGTCGGCCTGAATTTTGTGACAGTCTCCTTCTTTGTTTATTTTTAAGTATATCTTTTTATCATCAGCGAACATAAGGTAATTTGAATCTTTAATGCTACTATTTATATCATAAAGATATGCATTGTATAACAGGGGACCCAATATAGATCCTTGAGGAACTCCAGAACTTATACGAACAAAGTCACTTCTAGCACTGCCAACCGCAACCGCCTGTCTACGATTTGTTATATATGAACAAAACCAGCGATGAAGGTCACCACGTATCCCTAGAAGATGGAGCTTATGTAATAGGATGGTGTGATCCACTCTATCGAAAGCCTTCTCAAAGTCTGTGTAAATTACATCAACCTGTGCACCACCATCCATACTTTGCAGTACATAGTTCGTAAACACGGTTAAGTTGGTTATCGTAGAACGTTTATTGATAAAACCATGCTGTTCATCGGGAAGTGAATTACTTATTATATTGTAGATGGCTTTATAAATTATCTTTTCAAAGACTTTACTGAAAGTATTAAGTATCGATATTGGGCGATAATTTTCAATACTCAACCGCGAGCCACTCTTATGAATCGGTATTATTTTAGCTATCTTCCATACATCAGGATAAATGCCAAATGTGTTCACGGATAAGTTCTGTATTATGTACAGTGGTTCTGTAATAGTTTGAGCACATTTTTTGATAAAAATAGGTGGTATACCGTCATACCCAGCTCCTTTTTCTGCATTTAATGAATTTAGTATCTTCAATATTTCAAATTTGGTTATATTAGGTCCTTACATATGAAATTGGCGTATTTCGTTCTGGCCACTTTAATCACGATGTTCTCCTCTTTGGTAAGGAATTCCAAATTCAAATTTGTACAGCTATTTACTCATGTATTTGTGCTTCGATGACCGTCATTCATTTGTTTTTTTCTGTTTGCGTCACTCATTTTACAAAATGGAAAACTTAAAGTATCGCATTATTTACGAGTACAAGTTCCGCCGTGGCACTAGTGCTGCGGAAACGACTCGAAGGGTGAATGATGTGTATGGCGGTCATGTTGCAAAAGAAAACACAGTTCGTTTTTGGTTCCAACGTTTTCGTTCTGGAAATTTCGAACTGCAGAACAAGCCCCGTGGACGGCCTGAGACCCAAGTTGATAATGAAGTATTGAAGGCTATTGTGGAAGCGGATCCATCGCAAACCACGTCCGAGTTAGCTGCAGGCTGCGGTGTTAGTGATAAAACTGTTTTAATTCACTTGAAGCAAATTGGGAAGATTAAAAAGCTTGAAAGATGGGTACCTCACGAATTGACTGAAGCAAACCGGCAAACGCGCGTCGACTGCTGCGTTACATTACTGAACCGGCACAATAATGAAGGTATTTTAAACCGAATCATTACCTGTGATGAAAAATGGATTCTATACGATAATCGGAAGCGCTCAGCGCAATGGTTGGATCCTGGCCAGCCAGCCAAATCCTGCCCCAAGCGAAAATTAACCCCAAAAAAGTTACTTGTAAGCGTTTGGTGGACTAGTACCGGTATTGTTCATTGCAGTTTTCACAAATCTGGCCAGACTATTACGGCTGATGTCTATTGTCAGCAATTGCAAACCATGATGGAAAAGCTAGCGGCTAAACAACCTAGCACTGCTACTTCACGACAACGCTAGACCACACACTGCACAACAGACGGCTACCAAATTAGAAGAGCTTCAATTGGAATGTCTAAGACATCCTCCGTACTCCCCGGACCTTGCTCCAACAGATTACCATTTTTTTCGAAATTTGGACAACTTCTTGCAAGGGAAAAAATGTAACTCTGATGGGGCAGTCCAAATCGCCTTCACAGATTTTATTGATTCCCGTCCGACTGGTTTTTTTAGTAAAGGGATCAATGAACGACCTATGAGATGGCAAAAGTACATAGAAAACAATGGTTCATACTTTGATTAATTAAATATATTATATTTAAAAATATTCGACTTTTTGTTCCTCCTGTAAAAAAGTACCAAATGAAAAGTTCAGGAGTAGGGGTTTACCCAAAAGGCTTCCATACTGCAGAACTAGAAGTTATAGAAATAGCAATTAACAAACGTAGCCTAAGAGTACAATAACAAGAATATAACCCATTTGATATGCAATTTTAATAGAAGGGAATAAAAGTGGCTTTATTGTTATTATTACCGTGCACGCGGCAATGGCGTGTACACTGTACATGTATTTAATTAGGGCTAAAACATATTTGTCTTTCATTTTCGTCACCTCAATTTACATATAAAGGATTGGATTCTAAAAAAATATACTCGTACTCCTTATAAACCCTTTCAGTTTTTTTACTTATTTAGACCTACTTGATTACCCTTATGGATAGAAAATAACTTAAGTTATAAAGTCAAAATCGTTTATTCATATAGGTAACACAATGTATACTTATGAACGTCAAAAAATAAATACATATTAAATGCTTCTAATTTTACATTTACCGCTAGGTATAGAACGGAAGAGACCAACTGGCAATAAACTCTCCGCCTTTTTTTTAACAAGTTATTTGTTTTACACAATGTTTGTTTGTGATGTAACCATTACTCCATGTTCCAAATAACTTCTTAAGTAATGAATAATAATAAAATAAATGAAACACAAAGATTTGTCCTCTATCAGGAGGAGGCATGGGTTAATAGGAGCACGCACTTACATTCTCGTGGGTACAACACGCAAATATATGAGAACACTAAGTAGGGGAAGGTCGGGACCCTTCGTACGGTTTTCACATTTTATTTTTTTATTTTTTTATTTTTTCATGAATCAATCATCTGCAAGCTTAAATGTATAGTCTAACTATCTGAGATTCATATAAGAAAATGACAAATGATTTCATCTGATGGTTCAACCATAATTATGATTTAAACTAAATCTGGAAAACGTACGAATCTGCCCCATCAACGGGGCACCTTCGTACAGTGTTGGGTGTACCTTCGTACGCTGTGGGGTAGTTCCGTACGTGCGATTATAACGACACATATAAATCAAAATTCGTTTATTAACAATGAAATTAAACACAAAAATAAAGATTTAACTTCTATTAAACAAAAATAAAATACTTTTCTTATACTGAACAAAAATTACATAGCTTTTCTTAAGAAAAACAAAATTTAATTAGTTAGGTATCTT